TCTTTCCCCAATCTTTTCATTTAATTGTAGATCAATACCGAGCAGCAGGCCAAGATCCAGGAGCTGCAGGAAAAGCTGACAAAGGTAATGTCTGGGTGGTGAAAGAGTATTTTCCACAAGATTCTCCAGTGGAACCTTAATGCAGAGGAGGGATGCACTTTGTTTTACCCTCAAAAATAGAATTAGTCATAGCATGGGGGATGATAAGGAAAAGGGGGTGGGTACTGGTATCTGAAATCATTGGTGTTCTCAATATGCTTTTGGCTCTTGAGACATGTCAACGGTGTTTATTTTTACAAATGAAGCTGAGTCAGAACTGGAGTAGCGTAGAGAAACTTTCATCTGAAAGGCCAGTTTGGGTATGCCACATGCAATGCACTGGTTCCTTGCTTCTGAAGACAGGGTACAGATACTTGTAGCTCACTCATAAAATACACATTGGACTTGGTTTACTCTCACAGTATACTCTCTTTTAATTGCAAAAATCACTTTCCAGTTCAGTTATTCACAGTAAAATGTTGAATGTTAAGGATTCACAGCAGAACTCAAATACCTTAGCAATGTAAGGTGAAGGAAGTGCATGGTATCTAATGTTAGCGGTTGTGGTCAGACTGTCACTTAAGAAGACACGGTAAGAAGAGTGGGGGAACTTCTTTTATTGGGATCTTTCAGCAAAAAAGAAAGAGGTTGTCATAATAATCCACTGAGAGAGCTTTTCAAACTTTGTACCTGATGAGAGGGGCCTTTTTCAGGGGTTGGTGATTTAGAATATGAATAGGAGGCCAAAATTGTGTAGAAATAGTACTTCTAATATTTCAAAACAGTCCTATTTTAATCACCCTTTGCCTTTTCTCCTTTCGTTAATTCTAAGGAATTATCTGCAGACTAACATGTTATTCTCCTAGTGTTTTAGTAAGAGTACTTTGTGTTCTCTTTCCAAGAACTTGAGCTGAATTTGGGGATAGAATTTACTTTTAGTACATTAGAGACAGTTAGAAACTTGCAGTACAGCAAGACAGACATGAAAATCTCTTGGATTTTCAGTTTGTTGTGAAACAGAAAAGAATTATCTAACAGAAGTTAGAATTTGGGTTCCTGTATGTGTTTGTAAGTTGTCTTAATTTTAGACTGCTAGGCCAAAGTTCTGTAGCAATTTTATTCAGAATGTTGACCATCTCGAGGTTATGAACTTTTCACATACCACGTTTTTGTGTTTTTCTTACAATACCTTTTTTATTCCCCGTTTCCCTTTGGACCTTTAGGCTGTGAAAGCTAGCTCAGAGGCAACTGAACTTCTTCAAAATATCCGTCAAGCAAAGGAGAGAGCCGAGAAGGAGTTAGAGAAACTGCAGAATCGGGAAGATTCAAATGAAAGCATGAAGAAGAAATTGCTTGAAGCAGAGGTGAGTGGAGAACGTCTCTCTAGAGTAAATGAGTTACTGGGATGTGTCGCAGTTTGGGAACCCTGGTATGGACAGCTGAACAGCCTGTATTCATGGGAAAGTGACGTTAGACATTAATCCATTTGTAATTAAAAAAACATATTTCTTTGAAGAAAACGGAGAGGCTTTTTATTTTCAATGAGTCAATAAGGACGTGTGTTTAGCATAAGGGATTTGAGGCATGGTGAGGATTTCAAATATAAAAGACCACCATATATTGATTGCTTCAGCTGACCTTTTCCAGAGGCTGCTCATTTCTTTGTGATAATGCAGAGCTGGTCAGCCTAAATGGCAGTTAATTGCTCTACAGGAACGGCGCCATTCTCTGGAGAATCAAGTGAAGAGATTAGAAACTGTGGAACGAAGAGAAAACCGTCTAAAAGAAGATATTCAGACTAAATCTCAACAGATTCAACAGATGGCAGAAAAAATTCTGGTGAGCAGAGGTGAAAATGAAAGATAAAGGGTAAGAGTTTGTAAGAAAGGGGTAGGAAAGGAACGGAAGACATAGAATTGCATTGAATAAGGTGGAAATTGTTGAATAAAAGGATTTGTTTCTTGTACCAGCCATACTGGAAAAAGCTTAAGTGCTCAAATTCTGTTTGTGCCTTCAGTTACAAATTCACTCCTGTACCTTTAGTCTTAATACTACTTTAAAATTCTAGTTGTCTCAGTGGGTGCACTTTTAAGTCAACTTAGTAATATTTAAAGTTATTACCTAATGATTGCTTCAGAAGCCAAACATTCTTGGGACATACTGCAACAATAAAAACATGGATGTCTAGCTTTTAAACTAAATTGCAAAGGAATTTAGAGGCCAGATCTACTAGAAATGCTTACATTTTGAAGCAGAGAGAAATTAGTCATCTAAACTGCTCATCTCCAAAGATAATATTTGTCAGGAATCCATTTTCACCCACCTACCTTCTCTGTTGGCAATTTCTTGTTTCTCTCCTTGTTAAACCTATTAAATCTTTATAGTGAGTTGGTACGTCAGTCTATAGTGAACCAAGCAGAGCGTGTTTCTAAACTTTTACTTCCCTGGGACAGGAAGCATAATTTTATAGTGGAATAATTAAATAAATTTTGCATTTCTCATGAGTTCTCTTTTTGTGTTGCCAATATGACAAGGAAAAAAAGATTACTTTGTACTGGTAACAATCCTGAGCATAGACACACCTGAAGAAGGACAAATGGAAATGTATAAATAATGGTATTTGGGCTCAACAGGTGACCCATACTTGTTCTGGGTAATAGCTGCATATGTAGGCTTTAGCATCAGAATGCCCGAGTGCTCTCAAGAAAAGGTAGAATCAGTTCTTTAGTAGTGCTGTCTCTTTCAAATTGTTTTGATAACAACATGAGTGCATGGTAAGTGGGAGACTATGGTTTTGCTGGGCACAGAGCCAACTTTATGTTTAGAATTGGCTTAAAATTTCAAATTGTTTCATAACCCTCTTGAGTATATTTGGGGATTGTTCCTTGGTTTCTCTGTGGAGGAGAAACTGGAAGGGAATGCAGAAATACCGACTAATTGTTTTACAGCATGGGATACGTTTAGCTCTTCTTATAGATAGTTTCCATGGAGTTCTGACAGAATGTTGGAGACATACAGAAGTATTTTATAAAAAGGACAAACAGGCATTGAAGAAATAATCCTATAGAGTCTTTCTAGTCCCTTGCAGCTCAGATCTGGGACCACAGGGCAACAGTTTTCTTTTTTCTCCACTTCTACCCTGTTTGTTCCCTCAAGGTGATCTTTTCAAACACTTTTTACTTTTCCTGGTATAGAAATGTGGGAAGGGAGCTGAAGATACAAAATTGCATAGAATAAGTGGAAGTTGTTGCATAAAGGCATTGGTTTTGTGTACACTCACCTAGCAGTACCTGAGAAGTACCTGCTGATCTGCCTGTAGAGAACTGAATAAGAATTAAGAAGCAAGTTAGAGAAGATACTTGCGACTGCTTGAAAGTGTAGATCATTGCTGTGATGCTATGTTATGAAGCTAATAACCAAGTTAGTGCTACATAGAGAATAGTAAGTGAGAACTGGAATGGTAAGAGATTACCTTTTTAAGCCCACACTGGCTGTTAAGTGCCACTGCAGAAGCTGGGAAAGCTTCTGCTACAATATGAGCAGTCTAATGCTGGTAGCTTTGAAGCTGCTGCTGATCTGGTTGTCTGATTCTCTGCCAGGACCTGAAATGTGTGGGCTTCTGGAGGAGGTGAGTTGTCCCTCTTGTTGCTGGGAGACATATTTCAATTGCAAAAAGCAGCAATCTCCATTCCTTGCAGAAGTGTCGGGTACTAGGCACTGTAGATGACCTACTTTTGATGAACCTCCTCTTTGATTCTCCCTTCTGGAAAAAGAGGTCTATTGCAATTGCTGGAGCAAAAAAGTCTTTGTGTGTTTTCAAGATGAGGAAGATCAGAAAAGAGAATATGAAAAGAGCTAAAGTAGAAATATCAGGAAATTTTCCTGTGCTATGCAGTAACGAAGGCAGAGAGGAGACCTGGATGCATCCCAGAACCTGAACTTGTCTATGTAAGAGTCAACTCAGTGGTAGTGAATAACAGACCTGGATCTGCCTGTTGTTCCAAGGAAATTGCTGGAATGGCAAATATGACAGTGAATAAGCATAAAGTTTGAAGCTCAACTCTTGGAAGGTGTCCTGTTGAAAGGTGATTGTAGATATACCCTGAATAATACAGTCAAACAGCAGAAATAGTGAACTTCTGAGATAAAAGATTATTTAAATCCCTACTGTGCATGGCTCAAACTATCTGATATGAAGTAATGAGGTTAAAAATATTCTGCTATGTTCTGCCATATATATTGCATCCCGCACTTTTCATTGTCCAAGCAATTTATAGTTATTCTGACAACATTCATCTGAGGAATATAGCAAAGTAAATATTATTCCCACTGCAAGAATATAGAATGAAAAGCATAGACAGCAGTGCCCCATTACTGAGGTCTTCTGTGAGAAAACAAGTGAGAGACCTTGTTAAAAATAGATCTGAACTTCCTGTGATGCCATTGCAGCTGCAAAGTGTTTATTACTGCTTGTTTTCACAAAATAACCTTGGCCCATCTTTGAGAATATTTTACTGCGGAATGGAGATTCTTACCATGGAAGTAGAAATCTTTGTCTTTAGCAGTGTATGTCCTCTACAGTGTATGGCCAATAGCAATATACAAACCTTAAAACTGATAATGTGCAGCTCTCATGTTTTTTTTACTATCACAGCCCTGGTCTTGGGATTCCTGTAGGGTGAAGCCTTAAGAAAAAAAGGGAATGAGTGAATGAATGAATTTTTGGTACCTGTGTAACACATACACACAGCACCTATTTCTTTATGTCTGAATATGAATCTCTGCTGCTTTTAGGAGCTGGAAGAAAAGCATCGTGAGGCTCAGATCGCAGCACAACATCTGGAGTTGCAGCTGAAACAGAAGGAGCAATTCTATGAGGAAAAACTTAAAGTAAAAATATCTTCTTATTGTTTTCCTGCAAGCTTTTGTGGGTAGAATGAGTTCAGAGAAAAGCAGTTGCCTTTGGGCTCAGATTGCTTTGTCTTATGAGTTGCCTTCTTGCTTACCACTACTGAAATGTTCAGAGTTTAGTAGAATCTGAGTAATAGTCCATGCTATTGCAGCTTATCTGTCTTTAGCACTGCATCAAGACAAGTGGCGTTTGAAGACAGAACTATAGGCAGTTGTTGATTGTTAGTTTGACTGTTGCTGACAAAATAATACTTAATGCTATTGGATCTCACATCTCGAAAAAGCTTTCAGTTCCTACTGATGGTTTTCTGAGAGTATTCACACAGCCTGCCTGCAGGTTTTAAATTCAGCAAATACCAGAGCGTTTCTGAAATTCCATCTTCTTGGAGCTGGAGCATCTGCCAAGAAGCCACAGAAACCACCCACTTTGTTTTTGTCTTTTCCAGGGTAGCATTAGACTTTAACAAACAATTAGAAATGGATTCATAGAGACCATCTAAAATTAGGAAAAACAAATTGGGTAATAAGGATATGTGCACTAGCTAAGGATTTTTTCCAAAAAACCTGCAGTAAATGCATTTTGTAAGAATCTTTGTTTCTATTAAGCATAATCTGCTTTCAGTAATCTTTATCTAGTACGTTTACCTAGGACTTTAATTCTACATTTCAGCTTAAATGCGAGAGGATGTAGTCTATTTAAGAGCAGAGAAGGAAGTTCAGTGGGAGAAATATGAAGGAAAAAATAAGGAAGGTTTCCTGGCAGACCAGAACGTGTGGTAATCAGTAATGAGAGGAGAGCAATAGAAGGCAGGAAGATCAGAGGTAGAAGTTGGGAAGGGAGAAGTGGTGACATAAAAACCACAAAAGAGGATAGGGATTGGAAGAAGAATTAAAAAGAGGCCCAGTGTATTACAGGAATAGGATATAGGGTTTAGTAGGAGGAATCGGGAAGCCAGGTGAAAGAGGTTCAAAGGGCTGAAAGAGAACATGGGGTGTTTGAAACTGAAACAGTAAAATATACCTGTGGTGTCCAGACTTTATACCTTTGAAAACTTGTCTTTGAAGGAAATGACCTTCAGTTTAACAACTGATGTAAAACACTGGCCATTCATTCATAACGTGCTTTTTAAAATTATTTTAATTTTTTTTTAAATTAACTGTTAGTTACTTTAGTTCTGTTCCTAATGACTAGTAGTCATGCCACAAAAGAAGTCTTCTAGCTCTTTCATTTGCTGTGTCCGACTTGAATTCATGGCGTGTCAGTTGCCTCCTCATGCATCCTTACAGAACTTAAAAGTTACTTCTAAGCCATGTTGGTAGAGCAGCCAGAGGATGTGCACTTCCTTACTTCATCTACTATACATACTGGGGTATAGAGTTTTTCTGTTGCATTAGTCTGGAATAGTTATTAAACACAGTTTATATGACTTAAAATAATAATTTTAAAAATCTGCAGCGTCTTCATAAAATTCCATCACTAAATTCAGTGCTCAGAGATAACTGAACTTGATAACAAGCTCCTTTTTGGAGCTTGCTCTTCCATGGATTTCATGCAACTGCATCTTGGATTTAATTTAGCTTGAGATATGATCAGTTTGTTAAAAAAAGTTCTGTCTTTCTTGATGGTTTTCTTTCTGCTTGCCCTTTGCCCAGTGAAACAGATATAATTTAGACAAAAGAAATGTCTTCATTTAGGTGTTGGAAAATCAGATGAAGAAAGATCTTGCAGATAAGGAAGCACTTGAGAATATGCTCAGAAGACATGAAGAAGAAGCACGTGAGAAATGTAAAGTCCTGGCTGAACAGAAGGCGGTATGTGTGCTTGAACGGGAAATCAAAGCATTTTAAGAGTAGCTTTCTGAGACTGATTCCAATCAAGAGAGTCTCGTGAGGTTTTGTAGTGCTGATGGTCTGTTTTGAAGGAAATACACGGATTAATACTAGTTTTAAAAGATGACATGCTTTTTTGATTCAAGGTATCTTTAAGAATATTTCCTTAAAAGTAGCCATGTAGCTTGCTGTGTACCCATCATTTTGTGCATTGATAATGTAATGGTTGCTTTCTCCTAATATGAAAGCAGTAGAAAGTAGTTGTGAATAACTGCAGTAATTGCATCTGTGACGCTCTTTTGGCTATTCGATGGGTTTAATCTTACTGCTTTTTGTTTCTGGAAGAAGTTCAGTTCAATTTAAACATAGTTTTTATAATCACTTCTGCTGTGCAGTCTCAAAGGCATGTTTGCTCTGTTTCAGATGATCAATGCGATGGATTCGAAGATTAGGTCACTGGAGCAGAGAATAGTGGAACTGTCTGAGGCCAATAAACTGGCAGCAAATAGCAGCCTCTTTACCCAGAGGAACATGTAAGTAGAGCAATGCTGTCATACTGGTCACTACTGAACAGTTCTCAGCAAGATCTGTTCTCTTTATGTAGAATTGGTTCTTTCTGCAGGCCCGCTGTGCTCCCTGCTTGTTTTTCAGTGATGCAGAAATAACGCTTGTTCCTCAAATAGTTGTGGTTCACTGCGTGTTTTGTGTTTCCTCAAACGTGACTAGGAAAATTGGTTTGTATTACAGTGTTTACTTTGGAGCCTTTCCTAAAGCTGGTGCTTTGTGTAAGTTTACCAAACATGTTGAATGAATAATTGAAATCTCTAAAATTCCACTGGAGAAGCATATATTCCTTTTTTAACACACCTGTTGCTCATGGATATATATTTTCCTTGGTTCCTGTGGCAGTTACGTGATGTTGAAATTGAAAACATTAAACACCTTTCACAACCATCCCATCCTGCTGTGATGGATGAGAAGACAAGTAAGAAAGCTCGATTTTTAAGCTAAGAGTTTTTCTGCATTTTTTTGAATTGCCAATGGCAAGGGTGAGATATTTTGTTACTGAAATGGGCACAAGTAATGTGAAGTAGGAGATACCTCAGTGTCAGCTTCAGAGCGCTGCTTCAGTTCATTTTGTTTTCTTCCTAACCCAGGCAGCACTTGCGTGTATTTCTGTTGCCTTATCAGCCTCTCTTTAGTTCTCATCAATGACTGCTATAATGGTCAGGATCTAATGTCATCTTGAATCACTGTGTAATCAGCAGTTGTTCTTGTGATTAATTCTTATTTACTAACATAGAGGAAATCTATGTTAGATCTGTGTCAGATCTTTTTGTCTGCCTGAACTTAATTTTGCTTTAGATTTTAGCTGAGTTTCCCTGTCCTTATAATGATGTTTTTCCTTCATAAATGACTTAAAGGCATTCTACTTTCAGTATAGTAAAAAGTGCAGATTGTTTAATATGGCTGCAAGTTAGAGATTCATCAGCTTTGGCTGTCTGCAGAAAGGTATTTAGTGTCTCTCAACTGCTAGATGCAATGTCAGGTAGTCTCTCTGTGGGAAGTGCTTGGATAGGCTCACCTATAATATTGAACAGACTCACGGACGATTTTTGGCAAAGAGCTGGTTTGGTGTTTTTCCCTGTTTAGTGGAGATTACGCCTCCAGATATTTAATGGCTCCAGTTTTTGTTGTATTTGAAATATCTAGCAAGTTATTTTAGCCTGAGCAGCCAAAAATATTGACAGAAATAACTGAGAAATTTAATGGTGTTTCTCTGTGCTCCAGATGACCACCAGTTAATCGCCCAGCAAGTTTGTTTAGGCAGTGAAAGCCGTAACTTGCCTTCAGTCTGAACTAAAACAGAAGTATTGTCTTAACTGTTCCTGTGAAGCACAAGTGAGGTCCAGTGTCACAGTCAGCGGTGCTGAACTGAGTGTAAGGACTTAGCTGAGCTCGATGCACTGACTCTGAGAGCAGGTTGCTTGACTGGAGACCCGTATAAAACACAAAAAAACTATAATAATGTTTTAATATACGACTTGGAATAGATTATTGAGAGACATGTTGTCAAGTGATGTAATTTTGCAGGATTGGTCAAAGACATGACAAAATTAACAACATTTTAAGAGAAAACTGCTTTATTATGCATGCAGGTAGCTAATGAATTTGTATTTTGTGAACTGTGGTGGGGAAAATGTATAAATCTGTTGTTGGACTACTTTGAATCCACAAAAACTCCAGCTAATCTGAGCATGTTTGAAGAAGAGAACCAGTGATTAAAGCCTTCAGAGGAGAGGGAAACTCTGCTAGCTTTTGTTCCATCACTACTGAGGAAAGTAATGATTATCAGGTTCCTGAGAAGATAGCCCAGCAAACAGTAGGAAGTGAAATAACGCCATTTGGCAGTTCTGGCTGGCTATAATCTGTAAAGGTAAATTAGAAAAAGAGGGTGAAAGGGTGGTTGTGTGTGCAATGCACAGAAATGTGAGTCAGAAGACTTCAGTTCTATTTTTAGTTTTGTTAAGTCTTCCCATTTGATCTTGGGCAACCCACATAATTTCTCTGGGATAGGATTAATAACAGCTCATCTCACAGTGAACTTCTTAAAATATTAATTCATTAATATATGTAGAGCTTTGTGGGACTTCTAAGTAGAAAGCACACTATGAGGCAGAATTTTCCAATGCATGATAAAATGATTCCAGGAATTGTAAATAATGTAGAAAGACCTTTTTTATTTATTTTTTCTAAGAGGGTATCCATTTCAAAGTCTTATGGTAATAATTAATCATTGCCAGCTCTCAAAATTCTTATGAGCACAAGTAATTATTTTTGTTCACTTTGTAGAGCAAAACATTGATCAGAGGCAACAAAGCTTCGCTTCGATGTAGCTCAAGGTCTAGGTCCAGTGCAACTTAAAAAAAAAAAACAACACGCCAAAAACCAAAAAACCCCCCCAAACCACACACAACAAAACCCAAACACACTACCTCCCGCCAAACCCGAAACCATAGGATTTCTCTTATCTCACAGAAATGCAGTGTGTGAAAGCTACTATTCTTAGCATTCATTTTTCCTGTCTAGACAAACATGTAACAAGGAATTGGTGAAATGAGAAGAATGAGCTGTAGCTTAAATATTGTTCTAGATGACTGTGTATGAGATTAATTTTTCTGTGCAACTTGCGAACGTGGAATTGTAGTGCTCTGGGCATATGTTGATGAATGGTACATGGATCTTTTGCAGACAGGAATAAAGAGGTTTAGTGTTTTGGGTTTTTTTTCAGTTGTGATGTAGAATTTAAGCTATGAACTTCACTATTCTACTTAACAGAAAACTTGTATATTCTTCCTCACTTCACCCCAGTGAAAGGATATAAGTTAAGGACGTTTTGGGTTTGTCGCTTCTGCTTTTCTCCTGTCAGGAAAGCCCAAGAGGAGATGATTTCAGAGCTCAGGCAGCAGAAGTTCTACTTGGAAACACAAGCTGGAAAGTTAGAGGCCCAGAATCGAAAATTAGAAGAACAATTGGAGAAGATGAGTCACCAAGATCACACTGACAAGAACCGCCTGCTGGAGTTGGAGACCAGGCTGCGAGAGGTGAAAACCTGGGTTTAACCCCTCCAAACAAACTTCCTTAAATGTGCCCCATTTTGAGTATTACAGTGCAAACTAGAATTAAGTTGGTTTAGGTCTGTATGTCATAAAAATGGTATTTTAAGGTGTATTAATTTAGTTTGGCCTGGCAGTACTTTTTCTTTCCTAGGTGTAAAACAAAATAAAAAATAGAATTGCTCGTTAAAAGGAGATAAAATTAAGTATTAAGAATTTGTCATTCTTGGACCAAACTGAATCTGAGCTTTTAGATCATCTTGCTTTCTCAATGATATTTATGTTTTTTGTACGATATCCTTATAGTGTTGTCCAGCTAGAGTGGGTATGAGGTAGAGAATAAAAGCTTAGCTGTGTGCAATGACCAGCTTAAGTATGGCCTT